GAATGACACTCGCTCATTGAGGACTTCTCCAGTGCCCGTTCTCAAAATTGATGGTTCATATCCTTCTCTCTAAATCCCCCACCACACCCTCATCCCAGCCTAGCACTACGCCCCAACCCTATTGCATAATAACCACACATCTCTAGAGGTAATTTGAGAGTCTAGGATTGGGGTGCTAGTGTCAACGGAAGCTTGTCGGTCACGCCGATTAATCATATACAAATACATTTTTTAAAACTACGGGCCGTAAATAAACTTTACGTTTACTCTTTACAGAGTCAAACTTTATTTATTTTGTTGGTCTATTTTTGTTACCTATTTGATAAAATAATATAGTCAGTTACCTCTAGTTTTGTAGATCTTTTGATATAGTTTTTAATATGTGATTTTTATTTTAAAATTTCACACTATTTTTCATATTAAATAATTTAAAAATAACTTCAGTCAAATATCATAAAGCGCAACGTAAAATTTATTTGTGGACGAAGAGAATATTATATTCTTCTAATTAACTTTTTTGATGTGGGTACTATTTAACACTAGTAATAGTAGGCGGCATTGTAAAAAATTTGGTTGTTAAATTTTACTCCGTATTTTAGCAAGTAAATATTATTCTAGCAGTAAGTGTTGTTATATCCACCCTTCTTATGAATAAGAAGAAGTATAATAATAAGTGTACCTACTATAAATAGCAAGCAAGTGAGTTGGTTCAAATAACAAATTTGCTATAATTCATCTCTTCCCTTAAAATAATAAAAGAAAAAATAAGTCGCTAATATTATTATATTTTACTCCTTCGTTCTTCATAGATCTTCCTTTTACACGTTACACGTTACTAGACTTAATTAACTTTTTTTCAATTTAATTTATTTAATATTAGGTATAAAATTTAAAAATAAACTTTATATAATAAATTTTTTTATAAAAACATCTAAAAATAAGAGGTGAAAGATTATATTATTTTTAAAAATAAATATTAAAAATAAGTAAACGAATTAAGTTATCTTTGATGCTATAAATATTACTCCGTGTATTATATTTTGGGGGAAAGAGTGAGTGAGTAATACTGCATATTTAGCAAGAAGACTGGAGATGTTAGTTAAAGGGGGAAGTTCAAAAGTAAAATTAAAAAATTATGAAAACACTAAAATAAGAGTCATATACTCCATCCCAAAAGAATGTCGCACATATTATTTCGAACTCTCGGTAACTTTTGTTTGTTTACATGTTTGTTTCATCATTTGGCAAAATAAAATATTCTTGACACATCTTATTTTTAAAATTTTTTTATATACTTTTGAACATTAAAATTTCTTATTATTTATCTACTTATTTATAAATAAAATGATTTAAGAAAGAAGATATTTGATGTGTTCTTTGAAATGTTACTAATAATTTGTGATGGAAGAAATATCTTTTAAAATCAAATTAGGAGTAGTTTATATTCTCACTGTAACATTGCCACACTCACACATTAACACAATGTAACTACCACACTATCGGCCACCAGAGTATCGTCACTGATCGCCAACGGTTGACTAATCACAGTGTCATTTTACTTATAGTTCTTACTTTAAAATTTTTCTCCTTCCGACCATAAGTATTTGTCTACTTTTTATTTTTTATTTTCGGTAAAATTTGGTAAACTTTGAACTCAAATTTAAAAAAATAGTTATATTAGATATTGATACAAAAATAGTACTATTAGATTTATTATATAAAATATTTTCAAAATATCAGTTTATTGAATTAATATAAAATGTATATATAATTTAATTATAACTTAAAGGTTACAATGTGACAATGTGGTGAATGTTTTAGTATAACAATGCTAGTGTAAACTCCTATTTTGACCATGGAAGATTTACGACTCTTATTTTGTTATTTTCGTAGTTTTTACTCTTATCTAGAGAGTTTGCCCTAAAAATAATTGATTAAAAAAATCAAAATTAGACAAATACTTAGGGAGGAAGGTATTAGTTGAAATGGAAATTAAAAAGAAATTATCCTAAGGGGCTATTTGTTTCAGCCTCTTAATGGTTCAGATGTCTGAATGGTTCAGCACTTAATGGTTCAGACTGTTTGTTTCAGCCTCTTAATGGTTCAGATGTCTTAATGGTTAAGAGATTTGCCTCTGAATGGTTAAGTATTATACAGAGTCTGAATGGTTAAAACCTCTTATCTGAATTGATCAGACATTTGCCTCTGAATAGTTAAGCAATATACTAGCTCTTAATGGTTCAGACCTCTTACTGGTTCAGCACTTAATGGTTCAGACCTCTTACTGGTTTAGCACTTACCGATTCAGAAGTTGTCAAACAGCCCCTAAGTATATATAGGTAGGAGTAAAACATACAGAAAATACCAAAATCAAAGTTTCATATTTTTATTCCCAGAATGAGAGTTTGTATTGTTGTAGTGTGGCATTGTACATGAATATTTCACAATATTTTTTATAATGTATACTACAACCATCTTGGGGTATTTGTTCAGTTTTAACTTTTGGATCAAGGAGTAAAATAGAAGTAAAACATTGATTAAAATCCAAAATAGGAGTGAAAACATAAAACCCCAAAATAGGAGTTGTTGATGTGCCACTGCCAAGATCTGCCACTTCTCGGGTGGTTTCCCTGACTAGGAAAAAATGTTACACCTATTTCCTAGACGGAATGAGCTATTCCCTAAATGGAAAATCGGCTTTTATGTAAAAAAAAATTCAATTTTTTTGGTTTCGGCTTTCTGAATGCCGAAATGGTCTGACATATTTTCAAAAATTTTCGGTCAGTGGTTGTCTCGGTCTTGCTAGTTGCTAATGCCAAAATGAGACTTTTGACAATTTTTTTTATTTTTTGGTCAATGCTCTCTAGTCTCCTCCCCTTTTACTCCCCTCAATTATACACACCACTCTGATACAATTTGATAATAATTAGTCTTATTGAATTTTGACTATTTATCTTAGCGTTAGGTTAAATCTTTGCTGCGGGGATCTAACCGTCCCACTGCATCAGGCTCTTTATAGAACCCATCTTTTTTTAAATTTGGGGACTAAGGGTACAAAATCCAAGTCGGATTGGAAAATTAGATCAAAGTTAAAAAAATTGAAAAATTTCAAACCAGTCTTTCACTCTTTGGGCAAAAGATTAAGGCCCGGTAAAATTTTGATCATTTTGGTTCAAAATTAGATAATTTCCGATCATGGAGAAAAAATAATTCATACACTGTCAATCGAAAATACAATGCTAAAAATGACAACATACAATGACAAACATGACATTGTAAGATGCAAAAATACAAAATTTTAGGTCAATCGAAAACAAAATACCGAAGATGTCAATGCACAGTGACAAACGTGGCTCTGCAAAATGCCAAAAGTTCAATTGTATTCGGTGATACATGTGCATGCATCAAGCCCATGAAGTCATTAATTATGGAAAGAAGACAATTAAAATAAACAAACACACAATCTCTCCATTGTTAGCTCTATGCCAAAAAACAAAAAAAAATCCACCCCCACCAATAATAATAAAAAAGAATCCCGAAAAAAAAAAGAAAGAAAACAAACAGAAAGAATTTGGATTGAAGAAGTACTAGCTAGCCATATGTTGGCATCCATGCATGCATGAGAGTTAACACTGCACGTTCATTTAATTTCCACTAAAGAAGTCAATGAATGTGTGGTGTTCCATATCTTCTTCTGGCGGCTAAACAATTGTAAAATAAAAATAGTTAATTAGTCCTACTTAGATGAGTTTAAGTTTGAACTCCTATTTTGAGGATACAACACATGTTTTACTCCTATTTAGGGAGTTTTCTTTTAACTTTTTTCGGTCTTAACTTTTTTCAGTCAATATTTGACTTATAATTAAATAAAATATATATTGTATATTAATTAGATAAAATAATATTTTGAAAATGTTTTATATAACAAATATAATAATTATTTTTGTGTCAAATTCTAATATCATTTTAAATTTAATTTAGGGTTAAAATTTACTAATTTTAACCAGAAAAAGTTAAGCGTGGATAAATATTTTGAGATTGAGCGAGTATGATCATGATTGTTACTGTAAATATATTTTAACTCTTATTTAAGAAATTGATAGAATTTAGGATGAGTGTGGACAACTAGATTAGAAAATACGACAATTGGGCTGAACCACATTAAAAGATTGAATTGAATCGATTAGTTAGTTCAACTCAAGAGCTTATATACCGATTAATTTCCTCACATTTTTTCAATGTGGGATGCGTATAAATTTATTATTTTGATATATTTCTGATATTTTAATTCTGCATAATCTTTTTTTTTTCTCTCAAACGGAAATATAGAGGCAGATAGAGGCTAATTAAATGTGGGAAGAAAAATCCGAGAGGTACTTCAAACAGTTAAAAGTGAGAATCTAAGCAAAGATATGGCGTCCCCATCCGCCGTCAACGTGGTGGCACGGCAGCCACCGCAGCGAAAACCTCTGCTTCACCAGATTGGACCACGTGCGCTCTCCACCTTTCACTCGACCCTTCCAGTCACCGCCCTCTCCTCCCCCCACGTGTCCCCCCCTCTTATTCCCACCCCTTCCACTCCCCGCCTCCTCATTGGTCCGCTCCCGAACCCATTCCCTCCCCCCGGGCCCCACCCCCCCTCCTCCCCCCAAATCACATCTCTTTATAAATCCCCACCTCCGCCACCCTCTTAATTCCCATTATTCACATTTCTCCGCCGTCATGGATCGGAGAGGTGGGTGCTGTATTGCGCCGGCGGCGGCGTCTGTTTATGATATGTCCAAGGTGGAGTATATAATGCTGAGGT